TATTTGACATGTCTTTGTTCTAGTTCATTAATCATTATTATTTCTGTACGTCTATGTAATTATATGAATATTGAACAATGATCCATGTTTTGCATTATTGGCGATAATACTTACTTCAATCTTATGGTGTAGTTGACGTTAAAAAGGTTGGGTCTACCGCAGCAACTTTTGCAGTTAAGAACGCATGCATACAGAACAATAAATTCTGCAGCTGAGAACATTCCAATTCCTACAAATAAAGAAAAAGCGGATTGATAAATGAACTTCGTTAGTTCATGTATGTTGTCAAAGCCATATACCTTCGTCTCAATTCCAATACTATCCGGTTCTTGAAAGTGTAATTTCAACCTGCTCTTTCCATCATCACTGGATCCCCTCAATTGAGAAAATTTATAACGCCACACGATTTCTCCAATATCTTCATAAGAAAGCGTGAAGCCTTGAGTCCATTCTAATGTTAATCCTGCACTTCTTCCATTAAACGTGACGGGAAATGTTTTACTCTGTAATAGAATACATACTTAACAAGAATAATAACAAATATTTTTGACATTACCTTTACAGTTTTTACATAAAATTTGATACAAACTTTTAAATGTGTAACAGCTGAACACACTGCGGTGTGCCATGCTGCTTCGACTCTTAAAAGTTCTTGTCTAGTTTCAACACTTAAATATCGTGGCGGTTTTCCAGGACTTTGAGCTAAGAAACAGTGCTGCCTTTCATCCACATTCTCAGATTCTCTCATCACACGGAACATCGTTTGGTAGACTTTAAAAGTTAATGCACATCGAGACCAGTCACCTATGTTACACTAGAAAATAAACCACATATTATTTAATTATCTCGTTTGATTAAAGAATATAGTTCTTCTTAGTTTATACTTACGGGAGGTGTTTCAAATAACAATAAATCAGGTCCTTTTAGCGCCAGAAATCTTGGTCTATAGCTCTGCCATGGCTGATTACTATTACTCACTGCTTCATTTACCCATCCCATATATTCTATACGTTCGCCCACCCCGAAATTCCGATTATATAATTTCATCTAAAAACGTTTAAAAATACATTATTTTAACGATTGGCTTATAGAATTAGTAAAGCTATATAATTTCCTTCACCTGTAAGTGCGTTAAACCAGTAATGTTATCAGTAATATACTTCAACCATTGACTTAGAATAGCACTATCATCACAGTGAATTACACCAGTGCGTGCACCATTTAATCCTCTCACTTCAAATGCATTTCTTCTTAGTTTATCTGTTCCGAAGATATATCTTGTTACATATGCCATCATTAGTGGAACTGAAAATTTGTAACATTATTCTTTTTATTCTCAACACTTTAACATGAATAAGCAAGAACAAAAGTTTGATAGAATTATCACAACCTGTTATAACGTCCACCCATTTTTTAGATTGTATCGAGGTTACAGATGCATTTGAACTTTGTCGACTGTGACCACATCTGGGACTGCCACCCTGTCTATTGGGTGAAAGCCACTCGTCCTCTGACCCACCATTTGGAACATTATCCAACTTCTCTTCTTTTTCTACAAATAATAATATAATAATATTAAACTAATATTACAAAATTGCAAAGAGCAAAAATGTGTTAAACACATAATGTCCTGTTCACCATTTTTTTGTAGAAATGGTTTAGCTGCTCTATAATGTTTCACTGTTAAAACAATGATGTCACCAGCATTCCTCAGGATGTTCACAGCATCATCATGATTACATGCAGTTATGTATTCTCCATTCACTGTATTAGAATAAAATATTAATCCATATTTAATTAATTGATATTTAAATATTTCAATATTGATATCATAACATAATCCAAATGGAAACAAGGTGTGCTAACTTCATTTTAAAAGAAGAATACATACCTTTAATAATTGCATCCCCTACGAACAATTGGCCACACTGATCAGCAGCTTGACCTTTGTAAATTCTAGATATAAGGACAGGAAGCTTATGCTCTGCTCCTCCTTTTATACTTAATCCTAAGCCTCCAACTTTCTGTCTGGTGATTTGCACCATTCGTTCCTTAGCATCCAATGGCGGCTTATTGTGATTCACTGCCTGCTAGAAATCAGTGTCACTTTTTATAAATTATTCATTTCCTGCAGCTATACTGTAGATGTTTTAGGATTGTTATTAAAACGAAAATAAATTATACTATAAGGTTGATTACATATTTAAGTAATTGTCAGAAATTGCACATGGAAAAAAGTAGATACATTAAACATTACCTCTAAATCTTCCCTTTGAAGTTTCAAAACTTCCATGGACAAATGTAAACACATAGGTATTGGCTTGCTTTTCCCATCACTGACGCTTACCATCCCTGTCCTCACCTATTTCAAAATAATAACAATTTTCTATACTTCCTGTTTGGAAAAGATTTTCTACTATGTGTACTTCAATCCTTTTTCCATGTAATAAAATTCATACAAAATATTTTGTAATCACAGTCAAATAAGAAAATTGAATTTGTAATTTAATGTCCATATTAAATTATCTTCGTATATAAATTAATTATATATATTAATTATTTTATATTTGAGTATATAATTTCCAGTAACTTTATTTCATTAATTATGGAACACCCTATATACAATATTTAATCCCAAAATGTTACATTGAGTTCAACATTGAAATAATTTACATGAAATTTCCAATCAAATAAAATCGATTTCCGTGTTCATTCTGACGCTGAAACGAGCACGGAGTTAAATTGGAACGCGTTTCCAAGATAATATAAAAAGACGTACTAATATTAGGACTCGAAATGTCAATAATTTCATCTTGAAAGACCTAATTTTCTATGACATAATACTCCTCGTTTATCTGCATATTAAGAATAAAATTCGAAAATTCAAAATTCTATAATCGAAAACGCAAATCGTCAAACAATTCAGTAGCGTATATCATGATTTCGTTCGGCTGTCATTCAAGGCCTTAATAACTAGAATTTTTAATAATTATAATATATGTATTAATTTTTTTAAATTCTTTTTGCTAATGTGTTCATACTATTCACAGTATTTAATTCCTTTTTTATTTTAATTTTCGTAAATTTATAGACGAAACTATGCATTTATGTAATGTATCTGCAGTCTAATAATAATTGTATTGTCAGGAAGAGTTTTCCATTATTTTAAATTGATTGCCACTAATAAAATAGCCACCATGCTATGCTTGCTGTTTTATTAAACAGCATGAGTGCAAAGTGTTTATGCACCATTGTTTCTAAATTGACAATGCGATCTTTAACATGACACTTGCAGTAAAAATGATTTACATCAGTCACTAGTTGTCATAGAATTTTTGCAAAACGAACTGACATGAACCATTTCTTACTCAGTGTTTTACTGAATGAATGTTAACAATCTAACCGAAGGTCAAAGATGTATGAAAACTTTTCTCTGTTACTATACATTGCGACGTTGACGCTTTCGACAAGAACACTTGAATTTTTGAACATTGATGCAGATTCGATTCCCATCACTGAAAGTGACAAAAGCAAGACTGGCATTTGATTTCTCACCTTCAGCTTCTGGTCAATCTTCTCCTCGATCGGAGTGCTCATTTTCGTCGCGTTGATTCTCATTATTCGATCCGATTATGCGGTCCGCGAAAACAGCTCCCCGTATTGCCAGCCGCGAATCACCGGGACCGAGAGAATTTCGGTTCTCCTTGACACCACAAGTCGCATGTTAGTTTCATACGGGTTGTCCGACACAACTGCGGCTGCTGTTCGAAGACAGTAAGGTCATAACCACGGTCCCTTTTTAGAAAAAAAGGAGAAAGAAAAACGCACCGACTTACGCCGGACTAGAATACAGATGTATTTCACGACGCGGCGGGACGCTCATACGGAATTAAAGCCGCGGGGTAGAGTGCATCGTGACTCGTGACGCTTCGAGACGTTCCGGGGGATACGAAAAGCTTGAACCGGGACGCAGAAGAATTGGAGTGGGCTAAAAGTAGCTAAAAGCCCGCGGCCGAGGCGCATCGATTTGCAGGATACGTCGCGCACTGATGCCGCTTCGTTTTCTTTTCATTCGCGGGAAACATAAACGGAATTTCATCCCCTTCGAAACACAAATCATTTGTCATTCCTGTCGAATCAAATTATAATCAACTTTCATTTTCTTGTATAATTTTATTTAAATCTTGGACATTTTGTAAATAGACTACGGATGTTCATATAAATTCACAACTTAATTAGTTGTACTATTTTTGTACAATAAAATATTACATTTGTTGTAGAAACTCAAGAGTCAATGACATATAACCATTATAGAAAATATAAATTTCATTGTTTTTACATATACCGTTTAATATCTGAAACTACATTACATTAACCTTTTATATATAGTACAT